AAAGCGACACTTTACTCACATTTAGGATAATATTTCTAACTCTTCGATTGCGGCACGTGTCAATAACTTGAAAGAAATGAAGTTTACTCGATCTGAGTCTACTGAACTTATTTATGGCACCATACTGTATATTGTATCAATGTCCAAAATTAGTTTCAATTTTATTTGAAGGAATTTCATAGCTGCAAATGTCGTATCATAGAAATTTTAATATATGCACATTGCGCCAACATTGTGTAAAGCTAGTGCTATGGGGTCGATATCACATGGGTAAGGGGCAACGACATTTGTTTTTTTGTGCATGAAGATTACCAGGTCGAATAACAATACAAACAATTGTTATATAACTTATCACTCCTTGACAGAAAGTTACTCTCAATTATATTTAAACACATAGAATATTGGTGAGAGAAAAAAACAATATGAGCGTCAACACGTACGGCCAGGAATTGCTGTCCGTTATTTTGCTGATTTTGGAATCACATGGTGCATACTCTATTTCACATGTTACACCCGTCATACATCAGTTTGTAAATTTAACCGTGCTCTATATAGTATTTAATGTGGGCAATGAATATTCAGGGAATAAAATATTGTTGTCAATATGTGAACATATCAATGATATGATTGTAATGTAACGTATGCAACGCCTGTAAAATACATTGTTTACAATTTATACATATTTATCAGATATAGCGATAGATTGATTGAAAACTGAGCGCAAAATAGCAATACATTCTCATAGTCTTTGGCTTCACGTGGTAAGTTACTACTATAGTAAATATTCAGCCTCTGTTGTGTGATGGAAAGTAAGATTTAACATTAGTATTCACACCGCAAAAACACGGAAAATAATTGACTGTTTTATATAGGACAAATACAGTATACATGAAAATAGCATTATAATACTTCAGAGTTTGGTCTGTGTTTACTTTTCGATCCATGCGTTAAATGCAAAATTAAAGACATTATTGTTAGAATTCAATACCAAACGGTAATCAGATTATCATGTTACTTACTTTATACGGATAAAACTTGGCTTAGGAGGTAAATACTTACGACAGTGAAAATATAGCAATTATTAATTTCTCATTAAGATATTTTCTATAATTTACTTAACATGTAATCATAGCAATATATATTTTTCCAAGCAGCTGGAGCCTAGGGAAATATGAATATTTATATATGATCAATGGATTAAGTTTGATGTGGAATAACCTGGTCAGGAAAACACACAAATCCGTTTCATATTCAAATTCAGTCACTGCCGAGTATACAGTCATTACCGTCGCATTTATTTTGAAAATAATGTGCTACCTAATAACGGTTCAGATTTCGTCATCTGTAATTAGGTTATGATGGCCAGATCGAAAACATGTTACAGAAATTGCAGAGTGATCAACTATGTCAATAAAATAAATCCGATACATGTTCCGTTTTCCCAATATATGCGCAAACACTGTAAACATGTAAGTAATACAGAATGAACAAGTGACTAGAATTCCCCTTCCCTTAATTTCCTATATAATATTTGTTTTTAAATGTATACATTGATAAAGTTCCACGTTTAGTAAGTTACAAGAATTGAACCGATTTGAAAATGCAAAATGTAGATGATCATCTGTCGCTACCTTGAGTACACTAGTATCGGACATTATCAAGCATGCCCCTATCTAGATAATATATCCAATATATGTAGATTTGAATAGCACTTATAGCATCTTATGTCATATGACTCACAATATAGATATTGTATGTAATTGTAATTCTGGTTGCTTTTCTCATAAAATGGAGGAATTGCAATATTTGTTGATGCCTAGATTGAAGACATGTAAACAGCTCATTGGCTCTACGGCGTGTAGTGTAGTGTGGTGTGGTGTGGTGTAGTGTAGTGTAGTGTAGTGTAGTGTAGTGTAGTGTAGTGTAGTGTAGTGTAGCGTAGCGTAGCGTAGCGTAGCGTGGCGTGGCGTATGTAGTGTAGCGTACCGTACGTAGCGTTGCGT